CTCATTAACCTGAGCTATCTCTATAGTTATGCTGCTATAGGCTTAGACTGCTGGAGGACATAGGGACCCCTTCTTCATTATTCTATCTCTATTCTCCCACTCTACAGAATCTGTTAGTTCAATCTCTAACGTTCTGCTCTCTCTGCTTTTTCTCATAGTAGCTTCATCTGGTCTGTTTCTGGTTGGCTGTGACTCCATCCTGGAGAGAAATATCAGCTATGCTGCTGCCATCAACACCTTTGTTTATAGATTTTGGAGATCAGCCTGTTTTTCCAGTGTAGTCCTGTTTCTCTGACTGTGATTAACTGGATGTGCTCTCTTCATCCGCTGACATGGGAGCTGGCTCAGAGCTTGTCTGTTTGGCTGTGTGTTTCCTGGAGGGGGCTGTCTTTTACAGTTGCTTTTTGTATCTCTGCTTCTGTCTCCTTGAACCCCAGTCGGCCTCAGCAGATGGCCGCTCACACTGAGCCTGGTTCTGCTGGAGGTTTCTTCCTGTTAACCGGGAGTTTTTCCTCTCCACTGTCGCTACAAGCATGCTTAGTGTGAGGGATTGCTGAAGAGTCAATGAGTCCACGCAATCAACTGGTTTTCCTTAGATAGAAAACTTTGAATTAATCTGACTGGATGATCTGGTGAACTGTAAAGTGCCTTAAGATTACAGGTGTTGTGAATTGGTGCAATAGAAATAAACTGATTTGAATTGAATTAGGAAGGTTTGGTCAAATGCGATGAGGATAACTGGACTTTATTTTCCTCTTAAAGCTTAGATGCTAATTAAACAACAGTACCAGGTATTACACAGTTATAATCTTTCCAACTAACAGGTTTTCATACTAAAAGCTTGATGGTCCACCTTTAAAGAGCAGCAGGAGTCTTAGAGGAGCTGCAAGGTGAAAAGTCCCTGAGTTACATGATTCAAAACAACTCTGAAGCTCACCTTTAGCCGGAGCGCTAGCTTTAGCTGACCATACTTTTAAAACCTTGCATTTATTCGGAGAGATTAGCTTAGAGGCAAACAACCTGAATTAAGCTTCGGCTTTTTAAGCTAAAGGAAAACCGCTCTGACATTGTGACAATTTATAGACGCTGGGCAAAGTTAGCATCAGGGTTATAGAGCTACACTGCGTAGCTGTTAGCAGAGGTTAGCTAACGTTCACTACTTTCTTTATACACTAGCTCAACTGAAGGAGTGAAAACCCGTGTGTGAGATAATAACCTGTTCAATACTACCTTAAACTCACTCGATCAACCAAATCCGGGTGTTGTGGTAGTGGAACAACTCAGAAGACAAAGAATGAGCACTGATATGAGTTAAAGTCTCCTCAGAAATCAAGTTCACTTTGATTGGAAGCGTTACTTCCGGTGTGATACTTCAAAATAAAAGCCGTTTCTCAATTCACGAGAACGCGAGGTAGGACTCTGTGGAGGATAAATAAATGCTCAAAAAATAAATAAGCGTACAATTAATTGCTCCCAAAAATACAATACACTAATAAATGTAGGTAGAAAATAAATTATACAGTGAGACATAAATGTATGAATCTCTTTTAATTAGCCTCTTTATTATTCGCCTTTGTAATAATTACCTTAGTTATTTATTGTCCCTTATAATCTTCAACTTAATCTATAAGTAATAAATAAATAAAGTTAAAGATTAAAATGGACAATAAATAAATAAGGTAATTATTACAAAGACGAATAAATAAAGAACCTAATTAAAAGAGATATATACACTACCGTTCAAAAGTTTGGGGTCACCCAAACAATTTTGTGTTTTCCTGAAAAGTCACACTTATTCATCACCATACGTTGTGAATTGAATAGAAAATAGAGTCAAGACATTGACAAGGTTAGAAATAATGACTTGTATTTGAAATAAGATTTTTTTACATCAAACTTTGCTTTTGTCAAAGAATCCTCCATTTGCAGCAATTACATTTGCAGCCTTCCTTATTCAGAATCCCTTTTACCCTGTACAAATCTCCCACCTTACCAGCACCAAAGCAACCCCTGACCACCACATTACCTCCACCATGCTTAACAGATGGCGTCAGGCATTATTCCAGCATTTCATTTTTTCTGAGTCTCACAAACGTTCTTCTTTGTGATCCAAACACCTCAAACTTGGATTCATCCATTCACAACACTTTTTTCCAGTCTTCCTCTGTCCAATGTCTGTGTTCTTTTGCCCATCTTAATCTTTTTCTTTTATTGGCCAGTCTCAGATATGGCTTTTTCTTTGCCACTCTGCCCTGAAGCCCAGAATCCCGCAGCTGCCTCTTCACCGTAGATGTTGACACTGGTGTTTTGCGGTTACTATTTAATGAAGATGCCAGTTGGGGACCTGTGAGGCATCTGTTTCTCAAACTAGAGACTCTAATGTACTTATCTTCTTGCTCAGTTGTGCAACATGGCCTCCCACTTCTTTTTCTATTCTGGTTAGAGCCTGTTTGTGCTGTCCTCTGAAGGGAGTAGTACACACCGTTGTAGGAAATCTTCAATTTCTTAGCAATTTCTTGCATGTAATAGCCTTCCTTTCTAAGAACAAGAATAGACTGTCGAGTTTCAGATGAAAGTTCTCCTTTTCTGGCCATTTTGAGTGTTTAATTGACCCCACAAATGTGATGCTCCAGAAACTCAATCTGTTCAAAGGAAGGTCAGTTTTGTAGCTTCTGTAACGAGCTAAACTGTTTTCAGATGTGTGAACATGATTGCACAAGGATTTTCTAATCATCAATTAGCCTTCTGAGCCAATGAGCAAACACATTGTACCATTAGAACACTGGAGTGATAGTTGCTGGAAATGGGCCTCTATACACCTATGTAGATATTACACCAAAAACCAGACATTTGCAGCTAGAATAGTCATTTACCACATTAGCAATGTATAGAGTGTATTTTTTTAAAGTTAAGACTAGTTTAAAGTTATCTTCATTGAAAGGTACAGTGCTTTTCCTTCAAAAATAAGGATATTTCAATGTGACCCCAAACTTCTGAACAGTAGTGTACATTTATGTCTCGCTGTATAATTTAATTTCTACCTACATTTATATGTTTATTATATTTTTGGAGGCAATTAATTGTATGCTTATTTATTTATTAAGCATTTATTAATTTTTAACTATGGCAGAGTTGGTCCTCCATACATGTCCTCCCCAAGTAAGTTCTTGAGAAGAACACAGGAAAGGAAAGACTTGGGGAGAAGTATGGCAGGCCGTTTTGACATTTATTAGAAGCGCTGTCCTCTCTATTGTTCTGTTTGTTGATCTCCAAAATAAAATTCTTCCCAGTCAAAACTACATTCCTACTAGACAGAAATGTACTTATAGATATCCTAAATTACATTTTTCCTAGCAAAAATGTCATTTCAGGGTGCCAAGAATATAACTGTACTAGTAAGAATAAACTTTCAAATACCTAGAAATCTTTACAAATTTTAAATGTCTCTTTTGACATTTATTAGCTTAACTGAATATATATTTTGGAGGTCTCAAATGCTCCTAGTTAAAATGAACATTTCAGATATCTAAAATAACATTCTTCCTATTTAAAATGAACATTTCAGATATCTGAAATGTAATTTTTACTAGGACAAATGACCTCACTTTTCCCTATTCATGTGTATCGGGCCGTTACTTTCAGATATCTGAAAAGACATTACTCCTATCTAAAATAAACATTCTGGATGTCTAAAAATTTATTTCTGTACTTCCGATTGTTACTGGTCATAATTTTTATTTATACTTATATCTTGTTATACATCTCATACCCTATCTATAAAAGAATTAAAAAACAAATAACGACTAAAATGCTATTTTATAAAGTTTTAATACTGATGAGACAATCCAAGCTTTGTCAAGCAAAAATCTTGATTATCTGCACACACCTTTCGTATTTACATTTTAGAAGTTAGTAAGAACTCAGTTACTGCTCATAAACTTTTAACTATGGTTAACCATGTTAGTAAGTACCAGCTAAGGATAGTGTTATACATGTTAGAAAATCAAAGTAACCCAGCCTAATGTGACTTGTAAAAGCAAAAACACACTCTTAGATAGCTATATAAAGTGCAGTATAGATGTAAGGAACAAAATGCTTCAAGACACCAAATCAGTTGCTGCATGAAAAGCCACAAAAGAAATAGTAAACTATATTTATTATCATGTTTCATTTAGCTATTTACACCAACTCCCCCAGGTCAACAGAAACATTTTACATCAGTACAGCTTAGAGACAATCTTTACACACAAGTTATTAAACACAAGAGGCCATTAAATATATGCTCAGCAATGCACAACATAAGTGATGAATGGTGGGTGCTGTCTAGAGTCGTTAAAGTCAAATTACTTTGATTTATCTGTATCATAACTATTATCAAGGAGATTTCAACTAACAAAATATGAGTGTCGATTCAAACATGTGAATTTATTCAGCATAAATCACATAAAGATACACATCTGACAAAGCTCTTATCACAAAACACCAGAACATGGGTGAAAAAATAGGTAAGAAAACAAAAAAAACAACAAAAAAAGCAGACATTACAGAGACCTGCTATAAGTATTTGTCCACTAGATGGCGACATTCGAAAAAGAAAGGGTTCAAATTTTCAACCATAAAAATGTACAAAACAAATGTAAACAAACATAAATTTTTATCTGTATTAGAGCTTCAGTAAATATCAAAGCTTAAGGCTTTTTAATATTTCTTTTTTTGGCAAATCTCAAGAAATACATTTATTGTGCAAGAGGGGAGTAAATGGTGGAGAAGAGGGTTGAAAACAGGATTTCCACAAATTTCCATCTCAAAGTTCCACACTTCCTCAGACACAAATGTGTATATTTCCCTGCCATTGGTTTAAGTACTAATTTATCCAGACACTGAAAAAAAAGAGAGGGAGGAGATGGATGGACTGACAAATGGTGGAATGATTCCTCCATCTGTCTGAATGTCTACAGAAGGTTAGATGGAAAAAGTTTTTGGAAAACAAAAACTTTTCTATTCTTTATTTTCTTTTGTGTTCCTCTAAAATACTTAAATGATACACTTTTCAGTATCCAGGGGTTTTGAGACTTCTTATCAGTAGAGACAACGGATGAGAAACGGAAAAGGCTATTCATATGTCTCGGTAAAACTAGGTCTAAAATTGGAGTCTTAAATAATGGCTTTGCCTTTTTTATGTACTTTATTTAAATATGTGACTTTAAGGTTTCCAGATGAACTCTGAAATGTTCAAACATTACAAAAGTAGATCACTGAAACACATCAGGTGATTGGTGCGCTCCCTCAAACTTCATTCTGCTGGGCCAGGTCTCCTGAAACACTGTTGAACTCAGTGGCCCGGGTGGTCATGCCCAGGTACTGCTTCAGGAACTCGCTGAACCTTTTTTGGTTGTTCCACTTGCGGGCAGACTTTCTAATGCCAATGAAGCCCCCATACCTCTTCTGGTAAGACCTTCCTGGATACATCAACCTTCTGTAGCCGTGCCTTCCTTTGACGAAGCCACCAAACCTCTTGGAGAGGCTAAGCTCTGGATCACTCGGTCCTTTTGCAGCCACGCCAACATCCTCTCCTTGCTCGGCCTCCTCTTCTTCATACTCATTGGCAAGTGACAGATCATTCTGGGAATCCAAGATGCTGCTCAGCTGGCTGCTCTTGCTAACCAGGCCTCTGTCGTTAACGTCGAGTGCGCGGGTGAAATGGTTGAATCGTTGTAACTCGATGGGCAGTAACAGGCCCCCATCTACTTGCTCTTCTTCTTTAGGAAGTAGAACATCAGCTTCCTCTTGGGACCTTTTTGTCATGGTACCGTCAAGGGAAGAAGAAGTGAGTGCTTTACGGCAGATGTCCCAGGAGTGAGAAGGAGAAACGTTGCTTTTGCACTCGATGATACACACCTGCCAAACAGAGACACAATAAGTCATTGTCTTTATATGAACTTAGTTAAATGGGTCATAGAATGCAAAACAGAATTTACATTGTCATAGATGAATAATGATAGTTCAGTGGGTAAAATGGACGTACAGAGAAGTTCAAACCCCATCAACACCTCCTTTCTCTGCAAATCTCACAATTCTAAACTTCCACCATAAAACGGACGAATTGAAACGAAGCTCAGAGTTGACGTCAATTCGAAGTGAAGTGTCGACTGGGCCACTGACTGGACCGGATCTCAGCAGAGAGCCATGAGCTGCCCCTCCTCATCCGGAGGAGGGGGGGCTGGGGGCCGGTAACGCCCGTGTCCAGGCTACCGTCACCAGGTCGGGTTTGGTCGCTCCGTCGCCCTCTTACTCCCTGCCTCCGTCCGCCGGGGTTTCTGGACCAGCCCCGGAGCAGACGGCTCAGTTCTGCTGCACTGTAGTCGACCAAAATCCCTGACAATTTTGAAATTCCCCTCTTAACCTTTGCTTGGGTATACGAAAAGTAGGACATGTCTGGGAAAAAGAGGACATCTGGTCACCCTACCATATCAACAATTTGATGTTTCAGTGAGTGAGTGCTTGTTGCTATGAGGCCTCTTTGCTCAGCAGCTTCGCTCGTTGTAAACTAACCAATCAGTGCACAGCTCATCTAAATATTCCTGAGCTTACCATAAAAGGAAGAAAACCTGTCGTTTCATTCTAGGGCTTTTAACCAGGCTTGCATTAGGGCTCATAAAACAGCGAATATGCAATTTTCAGCCCAACCAATGTTACACACCCTATTCAAAGACCTTAAGGACTAGCACCAAATACCCTATAGAATCATTCTATGACCCCTTTAAGAGGAGCCTCAAAGGACACATCTTACTCTTTTTGCCTATCTTGTTGACTAGCTGACCACAGAAATTATAAACAGAAAGAGCAGAAAAAAAGAAACAAAAATAGGTTATCTGCTGATTATACCTGCTAAAGAAAATCTAATTAAAATGTGTTTTTTGGCCTTGACTTGACCTTAGCGTTCCTAAAGAAATATCTAGAGATAAAGTGAAGCTCTAATGCAGTTGCTACTGGGCGATGTCATGAAATGGGCATCACCAACACATGGAGAGGTGGCATCAAGTCACAATGAAGTTAAGTGTGTTTTTCTTTAAGGTTGGAAATAAGGCACCAGAAACAGCATAAACTTGAAAACAAATGAATACTCTGCAATGCAAAAGGACATACTTCTTCATAATTATACCTGTAATTAATTGTGGAAGGCTAAAAAAGCAATGATACAGACTTTTTTAAAGTTCTGCCACTGCCAGCTTGGGGTTTAAACAGACCATGGCTCTGTTCGGATTCATGGGCTGCGTCCTCAGAAGGCCAGATTCAAAGGCTGATTACGGCGCCGAGTTCTGGTCGGATTCCAAAACTCCTCGTTATGCGGCCTTAAAATGCCTCCTTCTTTTTGCCTGATTTGAAGGAAGGGTCGGATGTGTCCTCTCTATCCTTGTTTATCCCTGGATTCATTGCGAGACAAAGCAAGCAAGCTGCTCTGTGATCAGAGGAAAAAGGTACTTGGCGCTAAACAGTGATGAATATTAGAAGTTCAGGATAAGTTATCTGCAGTGTGGGGACTATGAATCTGGTAGGATTTTTATTTTTTAGTTGCTATTTTGCACAATTTGCTTAACTACGTATTTTTTGTTGTTGAATATAAGAGATTTTGCAGATGTACTTTTTTATTAATACATTGTTTAGATTTCGTTTCCACCTTTATTTCACTCTGTATTCTTATTAGTGTAGTCTTTGTTCACTTTACAATTAGATAATAGGGAAAAAAATGAAAAAGAAACAGTTTTGAAAAGTTTGATAGTCATCATTTTCTCCTTTGTGTGTCTACTCTCATGGCTGCTAAACGACAGAGCGTACAGCGGTGAAAGCTGCCAAAGGCTAGAGCTGTTTAAATTCACAGCCAAAACTCTTCTGGTCTCCTTATGTTTGGGGACTTTGAAGGATCCAGTCCAGGTAGAACGCGTCCTTGGAGGATGGAGCCCATAAATTCGAACAGAGCCAATGTTAACAGACATGTATTGTCTACTTGTTCTGCCTTTTGTGGACTTTTTGGTTCTTTTTAAGTTTCTTTTTTGAGTTTTCAGTTACACTTCGATTTATGGCATCCTGTGTTTTCTTGGTCGTTGTTTTCTTTTCCATTTGTGTCATTGTTGTTTTCTAGTTATATTGAAGCAGTGTTTTTGAGTTACTCTCTATCGCCCCCTTGTGCCAGTCTCCTTTCCCCAAGCTCCCATGTAGTTGCTTCTATCCACACCTGCTCCCTATCAGCTGATTAGCCCACTCTTTGTTCCGTCTCCCATATACACAACTCCTGTGCTGTTCCTCAAAGCTGGATCCTCTTCATTGCTTCGCTCAACATGTGTGTTTCTCCGTGGAGTCATTTTTTCCACTTTAAAAAAAAAAAGAACACTTCAATTTTAAAAAAGGTTCAAGATTTAAAATGTTCAATAAGTCTAAGTAGGGTTTCTAATTTGTATTAAGTGTGCTTTGCTTCTTTTAGGATTGTCCTTTATGTTTCCACCTGCAACTTTCATGTTTGAAAGTGAGGATGTTGTGTTCTTTCTCTTAATGCATATTGAATGTAGGCAAAAAGACCTAAATCTTTCCAAAAAGTGCCTTTCTTCCACATGTTAACTGAGTTCCCTTTGTGCCATGTGGAAAACTACACATCAAAAATCGTATGCCTCTATTTCCCCTTAAATAGAGCTGATTACATTAACAAATAATAATTATGTATGTTCAGTCACAATAATTTCATAAAACAGTTTAATTAAGCTTTACAAAAATAATTTTACCTATTTATTTCAAGATCAGACAAAATGGTACTAGTGAAATGGAAAAACAACAAATGACAATCCAAATTCAAAAAGTCAAAATTATCATATTAATTCTGGTAATGGTGAGTATTTGTGAAGTTTTCAGTCACAGTACGGCCAATTTCCCTCTTCACTGAGTTCCCTGTAAATACCAACATGACCCAAGTGTCAAACACCAACAGATCAGAGCTTAATGTTTTAAGCTGTCGGATTATAAATCTCCTTTGGTGTGCCGGCTACAAAGACGCCTGAGATGTAGACATGTCTTTAGTTAGACAGAAACAACCAGCGGGAATGGAGAGAAGAAACACACATCTGTCCCCAGGAATCAATTAGCCTCAACAAATTAAAACTAAAATGCCAAAAGGGTAACTCGTTGAGTCAGGCTGGAAGCTTGAGAGAGTACAGAATAAATATGAGTTGCGGGGGTGAGGAGTTTCCAGCTATTTCATCAGAAGCTGCAAAATAGCAGAGTGTTCAAATACTTATTTTCCTCATTGCATTAGATTATGCTTGAGTTGATTCATGGAAATGGTAGAAAAGTAAACATGATGATGAAAGATTTTGATCTTCTAGTTTGACAGCAGTGATTGACTGAGACCAACAGAGCTGCTGTGTATGTGTGTGTGTCTCACCATAGTACTGAGCTGTTTGGGCAGGATAGTGCTGCAGGACAGGCAGTCCGTCTGGCAGTCACAACGTCCTGGGTCGCACAGACAGAGAAGCAGTAGAGCCACTATGGTCCTCATGGTCCCACCGTCTGCTTTACAACATAGAAGAGAGCAAATACACAAGCTCAGGTAAAAACCAAGTGAACAGCAGGGGCTTCAAAGAGGATATTTAACTCTGCAATAATGTAAAACGCACATTTCATCTCAGTGTTTTTAGGGAAGAATGTAGTGGGTTTAAAAGCATATAAATGCATTTAATATGTGACCCTCTCTTAAGATGTACAGACAAATACATCCTGAAAAGCAAATAGTTTCATTTTTGAACACCTAAGTTCCTAGCACGTTAGAAAAGCATCTGATATTCTTTACTGTTACAAACCAAAAGACCATAGCGTATGGGTGGAACGAAAATAATTAATTGGTGTTAAGTTACACTTATACCCCATATAAAAATGCACTGCAAACAGCAGCCTGAAGAATAATGTAATTCACATTTTTTTGGGTGATAACTCTGGAGCTGTTACTTCAAATCTATCAAATACCAGCAGACAGAAAGTCAATCTCTATCAAGGAGTAATGAGGAGAACTGATAGATTGAAAGCATGCCATAAAAGGTCACATTTTTAGTTTTCCACAAGGCTGGTTCTTAACCCGTTGGATATTTCAGGTATTATCCTGCTGATTCAATTCAATTCAGTTTATTCATATAGCTCAAATTCACAGCACATCTCATCTCAAGGCACTTTACAGTTCATCAGATCATCCAGTCAAATTGGTTTAAAGTTTTTTTATCTAAAGGAAAACCAGTTGATTGCATCGACTCATTGACTCGAATGCAATCCATCACACTAAGCATGCTTGTAATGACAGTGGAGAGGAAAAACTCCCTTTTAACAGCAAAAAAAATTCCAGCAAAACCAGGCTCCGTGTGAGCGGCCATCTACTGAGGCCGACTGGGGTTCAAGGAGACAGAAGCAGAAATATAAAAGACAACTGTAAAAAGCGGACCCATCCAGGAAACACACAGCCAGGCAGACAAGCTCCGAGCCAACTCCCATGTAGAGGATGAAAGGAGCACATCCATCCAGTCACAGTACACCTGATGTAAATGACTAGGTTATGACAAGCATGCTTAATTAGCACTTGTAGGCATGTTGACAAAAAAAACCAGTTAATTCACTCATGTGAGCTGAAATGTTGATGACACGATTCTAACATTATTAATGATGATCAAAGTAATCATTTTAAGGGCGCCAGGATAAAATAATTTCTATCAAAAAAGGACCCTAGGAGGACACTAGAGCCGCTCAATGAGAAGTGGGAGTCAACTATAGAAGAATGTCTGAAAGTTAGAACAGTGATTTATTACAGATAGCTGCTGAAGTTTTCATAGATTAAGTTACAGCCATGCCTTTATGTAGGGTTGCAGCTTTTTGCTTCAACCCCGGGTCCACCTTTTAAAGGGAAGATTATTCTTCTGCAACCACACACATCAAATGTCTCTTGGGTCTGGTCGCGAACCAGTTTTGCTGGTATGCTTCTGCACCGTCGGTCTGGAATTTCTAGGGACGCACAGCAGTTTCCCGCCAAAGCGCAAGGGGGAGCCTATTTGAGAACTCGCAAGAACTTCGGCAGATGGTCCCAAGACCTTCGGTGGCGCTGGAGTGTTTATTTTCCAAAACAATAATGGTGCGTTTGCAAGATATCACGCTCACAGATCTAGAGTTGCTAGACATCGAAGAGGAACAGGTTCTGTTAATGGAGCCAACCTCCTTGATTAACCTTTCGTCGTAGTTGTCCATTGTAGTTGTTCCTTGGTTTTTACAAGTGGCGCGCCCCGGCACTGAATCGAGAAGGACGACCACACAGACAGCCAGAAAAGCATACCAAGGACCAATCACAACTGCTTTTTGTCTGCGCACTTCCGCTTGAGGTATGCACGGTATTGCGACCGTCCAACGCGTTTTGGAGGTGTGCGATGACGGTTGCAGAACCTCTGCATGGGGGGCGTGGTCACACACAGGGACAGATTTGACGGTTGCAGAGGCTATGCGTCAGAAGCATAAGTTGACCTTAAAAATGGGCAGTCGTTTGGATCTTACACTGCATGAAAAGTGGGATTTTCGTCAATATACGGCACTGTAGATTGTCGTGGAACTTCAGGTTAGCGGCAGTTTACGGCAATTTGCAGGCTTCGTCGAAAACTCCCGTAAATTGTCAGAAATTGACGTGGAATTTCTTAGGCAGTGTTCCCCCCATGCCTCCCCCCCATGGAATTCTAGGGGAGGCTTTAACATGTAAATGAACATGCTGTGAGCTATACAAATGCAAACCAGGGTTGCAGGGGGGGTTTTACCCCAAGTGACATCTTTCAGAGGAAGAAAATCTCTGATACAAAGAGATCAGGCTTAGTATAGCCTCTCACATTTTAGCTTGAATTGATTTATTTAATTAAAGTATAGAGACCAAAACAGATCTTTAGCTGACAGAGCAATACATTTAGAGCAGTAATTATTTAAAAAAAAATTTGCATTTAAGATAAAAAATAAAATATTGTCTGTCAATATGCTCAATTCACAATTACTTAAGTGGAAAAGTTTCAAGAAATGAGTCTGAGATGATTCACTTTATAACATGGCGCATTATCCTGTTGGAAGTAGCCATCAGAAGATTGGTACACTGTGGTCATACGGTCTGGCCAGGTCAAGATCCGCAATTGCAATTGCACCAAACAGGAAAAAGAACATCGACAAATTCCGGTTCGTCAAATTAAAATATAGCAGCAACAGATTGGTGACTAGAAATTATAGCACAATTCTTATAAATATCTAAAAAAAAAAAAAAAAAAAACTAACACCGTTTATTTAAATGATTGGATCCAAACTATTGGTTATTCACCAACCAGGAAGCAGATTTCTCATCTCCATTAAAATATTTATTTTATACCGAGGGACTTAAAGTTTAATCAAATCCAGTTAAAAGAAACTTCTTATTACAGGAATGAAAAGAGATGCTAAGTTGTAGAGAACAAGTTCATAAAAAAAAAGCAGTTTTGAATTATCCTTATCTCTGTTACAAAAATCTACAAAAATATATATATATATATTTGGGCAGAAACTGAACATATGCTGGATGATGGTGGGATTTTTTTAATATGTCATATTAAATTAAGCGCTCACAGGGTTCATACAGGAATGAGTGACTCTAATTTAATGCTATTTTAATGCTATTAGAAATTATTTTAATGCCATCAACAAGAACCATGTACACAAGTTATTAGTGTACATGAAATATGAAGGAGCTGCAAGCAGAGTTCCATGACTCCTGTATGTATGTAAACACACACACACACACACACACATATATACGTATATATATTCTCTAGCTTTTTCTCCGCCTCGAGCTTCCTTTCCGAACATACGGCTTTATAAACAGTTCCACGCAAATTAATAGCGATATAATATCTGACGAAATTGTTTTTAGAAGCATTTTTATTAAAGAATCATAAATGCAACGATAAACATATTTAATTAATTTTAGTGCCAATTAAGGCCTTGATTAAAAAAAGAATTATGAATTGTAATTATTTTTAATGATCCGCGGAAACCCTGGTTCTTCTGGCGCATGCCCTCTACGATCTCCAAGGAACTCAGAGAGGAGGGGACGGAGCCACAGCGGCGGCTGTAGGCTTTGCTTTGTGCAGGCGGTCTGGAGCGCAGCGGGGCGGAGCGGAGCGGAGCGCAGACGGAGTATGTGGGATTTCGGGGTAAAACTCTTCTTGGACGCGATGGCGACTCTGCATCGAACAAGACGAACTCAAAGAAGAGATGCTAGCGGTAAATATATGTTCGATTACTGCCTGCTAAGCTAAAAGCGGCCTAGCCTGAGCTATGGCTAATAGCAGCCTAGCTATTAGCCTATCTAGCCTAGCCTTGCAAGAACAAGCTTTATTAAAGTGCATTTTTTGTGATTTACAGGAAGCAGTACGCCGTCTTAACAACTCGGAGACTAATTGCAGGCGCTATGAACCGGAGCAAGGGTAAGATTTAAAGAATATGCTTTCATTCTGCGGTAAAAGGTAATGGATACCGATCATAGCTTTACATTTTGTTTTCACAGACCTCCTTTTTGCTCGGAGCCATAATCAGCAAGTCCAGATTTGCACGATGATGATAAAGACGACATTGTGTGTAAGTGACTTGTTTTAATGTTTTCTCCTTCCTTGTTACTGTGACTTGCGTTTGATTTTTTATTTATACCGCTCTCATTTAATTGTTTTCCAGCTGCCTGTAAGACGTATTTTCAGACGGTACGCAGGAGCTTCAGATATACGCAGCCAGCCAACACGCTGCGTGCGGAGGCTATCTGCTCGGAGTCGGGCCAGAAGAAAGAGGGTAAGACTTTATTTGGTGACTATTTTTCAGGTGCATTAATAGATGTGTTGTGTCCATACGCAGTGCGCTGATTCATTGTTTTTTTTTTTTCAGCTGCTGAAAGCGAGGCAGAGTGTGCTAGCAGATGAGGAAGTGGAACTCTGGAAGTCCGCCGTCGTCAGCGGTGTCTCTGGATGGATTGTACGGTCGCCACCATTTCGTAGGCCGGATCCCTCTGAACTCTGTGTTAAGCTGCAGTCCCGGTTAGAAGCGATGCCGAAGTACAGAGCCACGCACAGTAGGCGTCTGCACATCGGACCTGCCTCGGAGGGAATGCTGCCAGTTACCTCCAACCCCGAGGAAGCAAACGGACCGTTCACGGAGTTTTAATTTTTAGAAACGCATGTGTTTGGATACGCGTTGTATATAGTTGTGTGTGTTTTAATAAAGCTCTTTCTTTGCATAAACAGCTTCCTGGCAAATGTTCATTTCCTGTATAAATTCATTCATGTCCTTGATGGTAGCATAATAATTGTGTAGTAGTGTAGGATAACATAAATACACACCATATGAATGAATAAATATATGAATGAATAAATATATGAATGAATAAATAAATATATATATATATACATATATGAATAAATATATATATGTAAATATATATATATGCCAACCAATCACGAGCGACTTTACTTGTTTAAAAAGAAGCGGTTCCG